TACACTTTTTTTTTCCCATATAGATTTGGTTAACTCTATGGTGCATGCCAGGACTCATCCAGATCTTCTACCAGCTGCAGTCTATTGTTTTTTTTTTTTTTTTTGACAGGCAGAGTGGACAGTGAGAGAGAGAGACAGAGAGAAAGGTCTTCCTTTGCCGTTGGTTCACCCTCCCAATGGCCGCCGCGGCCGGCGCGCTGCGGCCGGCGCACCGCGCTGATCCGATGGCAGGAGCCAGGAGCCAGGTGCTTTTCCTGGTCTCCCATGGGGTGCAGGGCCCAAGCACCTGGGCCATCCTCCACTGCACTCCCTGGCCACAGCAGAGGGCTGGCCTGGAAGAAGGGCAACCGGGACAGAATCCGGCGCCCCGACCGGGACTAGAACCCGGTGTGCCGGCGCCGCTAGGCGGAGGATTAGCCTACTGAGCCGCGGTGCCGGCCTAGCTCCAGTCTATTGTTTAGCTACTCTAGGGAGCTTTTAATTTCAATGATTATATGTTTTAACTCCAGAATTTTTTTATAATTTTTACTTTTCACTGATGTTCGTTATTAGTTGAGGCATTGTCATATGTTCGTTTGGTTCTTTGAACATAGCTTGAGTTTTTTGAACATATTTATAATAGCTCTTTTTAACTGTGTCTGGAGCTAATGTGAGCCCTTTCAAAGGCACTTTCTTTTTTTTTATTTTTTTTTATTTTTTATTTATTTATTTATTTATTTTTTGACAGGCAGAGTGGACAGTGAGAGAGAGAGAGAGACAGAGAGAAAGGTCTTCCTTTGCCGTTGGTTCACCCTCCAATGGCCGGCACGGTCGGCGCGCTGCGGCCGGCACACCGCGCTGATCCGATGGCAGGAGCCAGGAGCCAGGTGCTTTTCCTGGTCTCCCATGGGGTGCAGGGCCCAAGCACTTGGGCCATCCTCCACTGCACTCCCTGGCCACAGCAGAGGGCTGGCCTGGAAGAGGAGCAACCGGGACAGAATCCGGTAACCAACCGTGTAGGAACTGAAGAATCGTCTTGCTCTATCCAAGGCACACTCGGCTGGCATGAGCTACAGTGGATTTTTCTTTCGTTGCACATCAGAAACAAGGGAAGCACGCAGCACCGTGCTGCACCTGTGTGAGTGCTACTACCTGGAGTGCCAATGTGTTCCCTTGTGTCTCCAACTGCTGCGGCGCACACTTTGTCGTTCCTTCAACAACTCTAATGTGGACATCACAACTATAGCTGGCCTTATGTTTCTGTGCCTTTTTGTTGAAAAAGTTTATTTTGGACCACAATTTAGTCTTTTCAAACACAAAATACATATCCTTACATTTCTATTAAAAAATGATTTGGGAAAACTGTCAATCGAATTTCCTAAATTCTGTAAGCATGAGATGGAAAGTGGGAATGAAATAAGTCTCAATAACTGCGCGGGATTTTGTAAGTCATATTCTCTCACACAGGAAGGAATAACAATAACACCAAATCACAGCGCAAGCTGTAAAATATAGAATAAATCACCCTGCAGTGATGTTACAATGTTAAATCTCTGTGTCTGAAGTTAGAAAACATTTAGAAGGAACTGGAAATTTCTCATTCGTCTTCTCTGCTTATAATCCCGTTGGCTCTTCCTCGCTGTGTTCAAAATCTTTGGTCAGTCATTTACTGGATCTTGACATAAGTAACTAATTTTCCTTAACACTCAAAATATAGATTAATTTCCACTTACTATGAGGATTGAAAAAAAAATAAAGGATGTGACAAGGCTGGCATTGTGGTGTAGCGGGGAAAGTCACCACCTGCAACACTGGAACCCAGTATGGTCACCGGTTGGTGCCCTGACTGCTCCACTTCCAATCCAGCTCTCTGCTCACGGCCTGGGAAAAGCAACGGAGCATGGTCCAAGTCCTTGGTCCCTGCACTCATGTGGGAGACCTGGAAGAAACTCCTGACTCCTGGCTCCTGGCTCTGGCCTGGCCCAACCTTGGCCGTTGCAGCCAGCTGGAGAGTGAACCAGCAGACAGAAGATCTCTCTCTCTCTCTCCCTCTATCTTTCTCCGTGGCTCTTTCAAAAATAAATAAGTAAGTAAAAAGGATGTGGCGCTGCAGGTAGGGTGACTCACACTGGAGGCGCCTGATCGATTGAGCTCATTTAGCTATTATCTATTACATCTCCCTGTCTGTCAAATTCCTGGTTTGAAACTTAAGCATCTTTCAACCCCGCCAAGATGGATGGGGAAGTTACCAGAGCTACTGCACCCTGCAGTTGGCTCCAGGGGCCTCATTTTCTGGCCATGTCAATGGAGGTGAATAAGTTCCTGGGGGAGCCCAGAGAGGCAGACACAGAAGCCAAAGCAGAGCCGGGCCGGATGAGAAGTGAAGGAGGCGAGAGGTGTGAGTGCTGATGTGCGCGCCTTATTTCCCGACAGCAGTGTCCCTGGCATCCTGACTTTGCTAACAGGGAAATTGAGGCTTAGGGGAAAAATGTTTTGCTGAGGTTTCTCAGCTGGTTGGAGGCAGATGTGGGAAAGGAGACCACGCCACTTGGTCTGTTATTCTCTCTTGTCAGGAAGCACAGCTCTCCTGGCCTGCTCAGATGAGGAAGGCGACGCCAGCTGTGACACTGAACTTGCAGACCCCGGATCCTCTACCTCCCCCTGTGCTAACCTTCCAACAGACACATGAGCATTCCAGAGAAGACTCGCCGCAAGTGCACGCTCCTCCTTCCCCCTGCCCTCTCTCCTCCCACTCTCATCTCCTTTCTCAACCTAGAGTCAGGGCTTGATTTTATGGGAATTCCAAGGGCTCTTACTCTCCCTGGGGTGCAATGCCTGGACCAGAACCAAGCCAAGGGGTCTGTCCCCTGCCTATTCTCCATGGGTCCCTTGGCTCATGCCTGGCTTTCTAAGGTAGAAGGCACGCTCACACCCATCCTATTGATCAGCCTCCGCAGATGAAGAAAGCCCAGGTGTTAAGAAGAATCATCAGGCCGGCACCATGGCTCAATAGATTAATCCTCTGCCTGTGGTGCCGGCACACCGGGTTCTAGTCCCGGTCAGGGTGCCGGGTTCTGTCCCGGTTGCCCCTCTTCCAGGCCAGCTCTCTGCTGTGGCCAGGGAGTGCAGTGGAGGATGGCCCAAGTGCTTGGGCCCTGCACCCCATGGGAGACCAGGAAAAGCACCTGGCTCCTGCCTTCGGATCAGAGCGGTGTGCCGGCCGCAGCGCGCCGGCTGTGGCAGTCAATGGAGGGTGAACCAACGGCAAAGGGAGACCTTTCTCTCTGTCTCTCTCTCTCACTGTCCACTCTGCCTGTCAAAAAAAAAAAAAAAAGTCATCAAGAGAGACGCGGCTGCTGCTGCCTTCCACGGGCCTGCTGTGCCATCCACACACACACAGTGATCTGCACAGATGATCTCCTCCAGTCGGCACCACTCCTATCAGGTGGGGTGTAGCTTCATTTTATAGATTTGCAGGTGAAGCAGTCGAGGTCAAACCCGGATTCTGGGCTCTCAAGAGTCAGGATGCCACTGTTTTTTTCTTATTGCAGAGAGATCGAAGAGGATTGGCTTGGCTGACTGGTTTGTTAGAGCAAAGAGCCTCCTTCACGAAAAAGCTGTGTCCTCTGCTAATGCAGCCCTGTTTTGCATCATTAACAATATCATTTTTTACACACACACACCTGTCAAGTCTTGCCTTGTGTGAACAGACTAAGCAGGGGCAGGAGAAAGATGGATGCCCCCCCCCCCCCAATATTTAAGGCCTTTACAGTGAGGATAATTATTCTTTATTAACATAGGACTCTGGCTCTTCCTGAAAGCTCCAGCGGCTTCTATTAAGAGAATCATGATTTTAGAAAGTTTTAGACATTATATGAAGGGGATATTTTTAATGCTTCTTTTCAAATGGGAAGAAACAGGTCACAGAGATGTAGAAGCAAATATTCTCTCTACACATGAGCAGGTGCACACATGTGCATGCGTGAATACATATGTACAGCAGTACACACACACAGCCCCATCTACAGGCCACACTGACAGCTGAGACGGCCACGTAGGGACGCGCACAGCACGGACCCGCAGGACAGAGGGATGATTCACGTCCCGGGTGGGATGGAGGCCGACGGCACAGGATTGTATCACACTGCTCACAACAGCGTGCACTTCAAGACTAATCAACTGCTGACTCCTGGATGTAGTATTTTCAGGCCATGGCTGGACACGGGTTAACTGAAAACACAGAGATGAAACTGTGGCTGAGTCTGCCTTACCGTATGTATACGTCTTTCTACTCGCTGCGACACCTGCGTCACTTTGCTTGGCTGAGGCCAGTACTCCATACTGCTACTGCCGGCTACGAGTGCCAGCTGCTCACCGGCTGGGGGCTGGGCCCCCTGGGCGTTGCCTAGAGTAAGACGGCCCTGCTCTCAGGGGCTATTGGCCTGGTAAGACACCCCCTTCTGACTCAGGAATCCGCACACCCCTGTGACTGGCCGAAGGAAATGAGCTGTCACGTGTAGCTATAACTTGCACTTTTAATTCTAGGAAACTCATCACCTTATGGTTAGAAGGCAGAGCTTTTCAGTGTCTCTACCAAAACTCCCTAACGTGCAAGTTACCATTTTCCTCGGCATGGCTACTCTTACCTTGCTCCTTGGGTGGCACCAATGGAGGATTCTGCATTCTGTCGTACTGCACTTCAACAGGAACTTCCCTAAAGGTAGCCAAGCACAAACACTCATTAGAAAATAATGGACATGTCATATTCATGCATGTAAAGGTATATATTAGAAGCTATTTTCAAGGTCTTTCTCTTTAAATGGCCAAGTAATAAGAAACAGACTAGCTACTAAGAACTGATGTTTTTTTTCTTTCTTAATTTCCGACAGACAGGCTTTTTACTGACCATCCTAAAGCAGGCTTGGGGAGGAGGCAGTGCTGCGTGGAGCCAGCGGCCTTGTCTGTATCTCTGCTCCTGCAGAGACACATCCAAGTGGGAGAAGTTACGATTCTCTGAAAATGCCCTGCCTCATAGCCACGTCGCCCAGACTCTGTTTCAGAAGAAATAGCTAGAATACTTAACGACATAGGTGAGGGTGATACAATTGCTGTATCTTCATTAGGTGAAATACAATTCAGTCATTAAAATGTGATTATGAAGATTATGCAGCAACATAAAAAATGATGCGCTAGATGATGCACTAAATGACACACAGGCATCACAGCCAAATAAGAAAGAAAGGCTAAGAAAAGCACCTGGCAGAATATATATCAATATGTGCATCTGTCTTGCGTTGGTGGTGGAATTACGTTTTCTCCCACTCTGGCTACTGTCCATACTGTCCATGATAAGGGGTTGCATATTAACAAAATACAAAGAAGCTTCAAAAATTCATGTGCAGAAGTTTTTCACCTACGCATACACGAGTCTTCAAAAAGTTCATGGAAAATGCGAAATGTGTATTATGAAAAAAATGAGATTTCAATATTTTTGCAACAAAAATAAACATCCTTTAATTTCATCTTCTACAGAGTCACAAACTTTTTTTAAAAAATTTATTTATTGGAAAGGCAGAGCCTGGATTGGGGTCAGGGGTTGGGAAGTGGGGAGAAAGAAAGAGAGAGAGAGAGAGAGAGAGAGAGAGAGAGAGTGAATGAATATCTTCCATCTGCTGGCTTACTCCCCAAATATCTGCAATGGCCAGGACTAGGCCAGGCCAAAGCCAGGAGCCTGGAATTCCGTCAGGTCTCCCATGTGGCTGGCAGAGGTCCAAGTTCTTGGGCCATCTTTTGCTGCTTTCCCAGGCGCGATAACAGGGAGCTGGGTTTCAGTGAAGCAGCCAAGACTCAGTCAGCGCTTATATGGGATACCAGCTAACAGGCAACAGCTTAACCTGTTGCACCACAACACTGGCCCCCAGTTTAAAAAAAAAAAAATTGAAAGGCAGGGTGAGTGGATGAATGTTGTGGCACAAGTTAAACCCTTCCTTGGGATACCTGCAACCACGTCAGAGTGCCTGGGAGAGAGAGAGAGACTGAGAGAGAGAGAGGGAGAGAGAGAGGTGGAGAGACAGAGAGGGAGAGTGAGAGGGTGAGAGAGAGAGAGAGGGAGAGAGAGAGTGGGAGCGTGGGATATAGAGGGGGTTAGAGAGAGTTGATAGACGGTGAGAGTAAAGAGAGAGGGAGAGAGAGGGAGAGAGGGAGGGAGAGAGAGAGGGAGAGAGAGAGAGGGAGAGGGAGAGGCAGAGAGATAGAGGGAAAGAGGGAGGGAGAGAGAGAGAGACTGAGAGAGAGAGAGGGAGAGAGAGGGAGAGAGAGAGGTGGAGAGACAGAGAGGGAGAGTGAGAGGGTGAGAGAGAGAGAGGGAGAGAGAGGGAGGGAGAGAGAGAGGGAGAGAGGGAGAGAGAGAAAGGGAGAGAGGGAGAGAGAGAGCAATAGGGAGAGAGAGAGAGAGAGAGAGGGAGAGAGCGGGAGAGAATGAGGCAGAGAGAGTGGGAGGGAGAGAGAGTCCTACTCTGCATCCAATCCATCTTCCTGCTAATGCACACTCTGGGAGACAGCAAATGAAGGCGCAAGAACCTGAGTCCCTGTGACCTGTGTGGGAGACCTGGGGAGAGTTCCTGGTTCCTGGCTTGGACATTTGGGGAATGAACCAGTGGGGGAAAGATATCTCTCTGTCCCTTCACTTTCTTTCTCTCCGCTCCCTCCCAACCCTATTGCTCTGCCTTTCAAATAAAAATTAATAAACATTAAAAAATATTAAGAGGCAAATATTGAGAAAGATAGACAACTTACAATAGACATATCAACATGCAATTATTCATTTCACAAATGGTGTTTGAGGTGCCCCTAGGCACTCTGGAAAGGATAAACTAGAGAAGTCCCTTATGCTAGTACAAGATTGGTAAGAACGAGAAAACACCCTGCTCTAAAACTTGCTAAAGACTTCAAAAAAGGTATAAAAGGAGATGCTAAACTAGTGATCACGTAGTCTCACCGAAAATTTTAAAATGAAAATTTCTAAACCAAAACTACGCTTGTTTGCCTACAAATTCCCCGCCCCTAAAAAAAAAAAAAAACAATAATGCAAGGTGTCGAGGAAGTCCTGGGAAAGGGGCCAGCAATGCCCACCCCCTTTGTATAGCAGAGCGCTGCGAGACCGCTGGGGTGGGTGTGAAGTTCCCACCTTGAGCCCCGACAGCCTGCACCTTGTGGGCCAGAGCTTCCTTCCACTGCTGGGAATCTATCTCAGAAAACCATCATGGTGCGGTACCTGCCCGTGTATCACCATCACCACTGTCGTCAGCTACAACCTGTTCAAGGTGCTTTCTACAGTACACTGAAAGGGTAGAACCAGGTAAATTACGGTAGATCTTTATAATGAGAGTTTTTTTTTTTTTTTTAAGTTTCTTAAGACATTTAAACATCTGAGCAATGCTTATGATGTGCTTCTGTGTGACAGGAGGTTACGGAGCAGTGTGGTTTGATTTTTTTTCATGTACTTGCGGGTAAAATGATCAGGTATTGTAAGGGGCTCCCTCTGAGAGGGCTTTACATCACCACCCCTTCCTTCCCATGCCCCTGGATATGTCGCGAAGTCTCCTCGATGAGCAAATGCACTCAGAAGAAAAACAGTACAAGTTTTATTTGAACTGTTTTAGAATAGAAAAGCCGTGCCATCAAGCCAATCCTAACTGTATTCCTGATACCTTGGTATTTAAAGTAGAAAACTCATTCCCACAAAGACATACTGTCTTTTGCCATCACAGAAAGCACAGCTATATTTAATCCTATTGTAATTATGAATAAATTGTATAATAACCACACCTGACTCCAACTAAAGAAAACATCTGAACAATCACAATACTGCATCTTGTGACTGAACTGGGTACTAGTTTGTTACATAAATATGCTAGACAAAAAGATGCATTACACAATCATATTAATCCAACTTTAAGTATTTTTTCAAACAAATTGATAGCAATTGTATTCTATTACAGTTTTAATGACTTTTGTGGCTGTTTCAAAATTTACTTTATACGATTGAAGTTGAATATCTTTTCCTTTGGTTACTGTGTATAGATAGCCTGTGCCTGATTTCCTGCTGGGCTATGGTGATTTTACTGTTTATTTGTTGGGTTCTTCCTTTAGCGGAGCTGATAAGACCACCACTATCATGTAAATTCAAGATGCTATCTCAGAAAATAATAAAATATTTTAAAGCTATTAAATGGGGCCGGCGCTGATGCTCAGTGGGTTAAAGCCCCAGCCTGCAGTGCCGGCATCCTGTATGGGTGCTGGTTCATGTCCTGGCTGCTCCATTTCCCATCCAGCTCCCTGCTTATTGCCTGGGAAAGCGGCAGAAGATGGTCCAAGTGGTTGGACCCTGCACCCACGTGGGAGACCCAGAAGAAGCTCCTGGCTCCTGGCTTTGGCTGGCTCAGTCCTAGCTGTTGTGGCCATTTGGGGAGTGAGCCAGCTGATGAAAGATCTCTCTCTGCCTTTCTCTCTGTAACTCTGACTTTCAAATTAACAAATGAATCTTTAAAAAAAAATCTAACAAAATATCTCAGACTTCATGCACAGAACATCAATGTGCATTTTACTCAAGACAAGCAGTGGCTGTGTCTTTTACAGTATTTCAGAATCTCTGGAAATCACAACCTGATTTTTCTTACTTGGATTCTTGAAGAGTGCATCAATTAGACAAATCTATCAGAAAGGATTAATAACAGGATGCAAACGGCAAACGCCATCAAGTACAACAAAATCAAATACAGTGTGCTTTACAAATCGCTCTCGGGTAACTGCTTTCAATTTTAGTTGATATGCCGTATTTAAAAGGGAGCTGATTAAAAAGTGGAAGTCAGGTGAACTGGTCACTTGAGAAAGTGACAGCTGTGGTACTGGCAATGGAAATTTCTCCATTTATTCCTTGTTGAAGAATCCTCAGGCACACATTGTTATATTGCCTTCCAAGGTTCCTAAAAGTAAATTTAGATTAAAAAACAAACTTTTAACCCGTGCTGTGAGGGCCGGGGGAAGCGCATGCGCGTGTGTGCCTGTGGGTGTGTTCAGAAGGCACCCAGCCCAGAGCTGCGGTGGAAATGTCAATCTAGACTGGTTCCAGGGAGATAAACAGGCCACACACCACCAAGCCGACACACTGTCATTCAGATAAGCGTCACAATACAATACGGTTGGCTGGGAGTCTGATACATGACATATATAAAAAGTAACCAGTCTTTGGGTGTCTTACAACTGGCCGTTTCTAACAGGCTGACCCTGACACACTGCTACAAAGGCACCCACCCACCCTGGCTGGGTGGCTGCTCTTTGAGTCGCCTTCCTCTGCGACCTTGCGCCTGCTGATTTTAAGGCTTGATTTGGTGACCAGCCCCAGGGATGATGGGGCCGAGCCTCGCAGCGGTCAGCGCATCACGGGTGGCCGCTGCACTCGGGCTGCGCTGCGCACCCCAGCACTTGCACGGCGGCTGTCACCATGTGCTGGTGGCCCGCCCCCACCTAAGGGTGGGCGCCCTGAGCACCGACTTGAGAAATCGAGGCTCCAACAGCACTGACAGCACTGAGCGGCTCTCTCGGGGTCACCGGGCCTGAGCAGGAATCCACCGCCCACTGCCCAGGTGCGTCTCATTTCCAAGCCTGTGCTGGGTGCTGGTTTCTCTGCTCCCCCAGCCCCTCCTGGCTTTTCCT